AAAAGTTTCTTTCCCCTTTCTTTTCTCCCCAGCACCTCCGCTTCTTAATAAGCCTGGGTTTTTACTCATGTCTGCTCCTCCTTCTCCAAAATACGTAATTTTTACTTCTTCATTGAGAAAAACAGACATGAGGGAAAAATTCCCAGAAAAAAAACAGTCCACTTCAGATCTTGAAGCAGCAGTAATTTCTAATACCTGAGCACCCAGAATGGTGTCTGGGCTCACCAGGAGCCTGGTCAGGAGCCATTGGACACATGGACCAGTGCCCCACAAAATGTCCAGCCCAAGCATAACTTGAGGGGCTGGGGGACCCCAAGAACCCACAACATGAGGAACTACAATGCTTTCCTGTCCAGCCTTTTGGTAGGGGAAAAACTCTGGGACATGCTGCTATAGCAGTAGCTTTATCTAGGATTATTATTTTGTTTGTTTGTTTGTTTGTTTGGCTGTTTGGTTTTTTTGTTATCAACCGCTTCTGTTATGCAGCTACCTTCACATTTTATTGTACTTTTTTTAGTGTTCTCCATAAATAATTGCTCCACGATCCCTCTTCAGAGCTCTATTGAAGCACCCAAGTCCCCCAAGCCTTGCAGGTGTGTGGGAGCCCGACAGCACACAGATTTCCACTGAATTAAGCATCACTCCGTTTGCTCTTTGAGACGGAGTGTGCGGGTTTCAGCAACTGCTTGATCCAATATCTCCCTCTGGTGGAAAGCAGGGAACAGAGCAGCGGACAACGTAACAATAGTCACTTGATTGCTGTGGAAACAATAAAAATCTCGGTCCAGGCCATGATGTTATCTCTAATTGCTACATTTATTCCTAATGAATTTGCAATTTATCTCAAATAGTCCTTGACTGGAAGAGAATGGTAATGAATAGTGAATGCAAATTTTCCTGCATTTTCCAGAAATTTGTTTTAAACAGAGGCAAAAGCCTACATCAAGACAATATGACTTTATGGCATTGTTTCTGTGAAGAAAATCAACAAAATTCCCTGTTGCAGAAAACTATTATTTTGTGCTCAAGCTCTAAAATCCATCACACATCCCATCTGCTCTCTGGAATCACAAGGATTGATAAAAATGTCTCAAAATATAATCGTTCTCTTTCTATACCACAATTACACCTTTGAAGTTCCATGTGAGTATGACAGATTGGTTGCCAGGGGTGCCTCTTCAATGTAGATCAGAAAGTGTGGATAAGGAGGAAATACTCAAGCACAGTTTGGATAACTTATGTCCAGACATGCATGGGCTTAAGGAACAGCAGAGGGATAAAATGCTTTGCCCAGGTGACAGCTAAGTCTTTCTTTCAAGACACCTTTCATCAGCATGGGGAGGTCAGGGAGATTTAATGAACCTTCCACTGTTAATCCTCTCCCATGTGTGAGTATTTCTCTGACACTTGTTCTGTGATTTCAGATGAAAACTGCAGAGCTGATGAGGCAGCACAGAGAGATTTAAGATCAAAATGGACTTTTGAAAATTCCTCAGCTGCCAGCTCAGCTTCAGCTGGAGCTGGAGAGGTAACAGAGGCCACAGCTTTGCTTCAGCTCCTGGCATGAGTCTTGGGTGAGGAGCAGAAACTCAGGGATGGCTGATGAGATATTGCCAGAGGCTGACACCTGGGGCTGGGCAGCTGGATCAAGACAGGACTCGTCTCAACAAACTTCAACTGCCTGAAAGCAGTCAGTGTCAGTGAGCTGGCCTGAAGGCACTGAAAGTGTGACTCCCCTTTGTGGGGAGGTGTACAGCTGGCACAGGGCAGTATCACTATGTATCTAAGATATATCTTAGATTATTTAAATTTTCCATGCCTAGGGAAGCATAATGGAAGAATGTTCAATTATTCCCAAAATCTTAGGGCATCTTCTTGGCAAATTGAAAGCTTTTGGAACAAAAAGATGACGTTTCTGAATAGAATGCTCGATCTTTTTGTGGCATGACTTTAATCAGGGAGAAAACCTCTGTGAGAAGGAGTAAGATTTAAAAAAGAATTTCAAGCTAGAAACTGGGGAAGTGAGGTGGAAGAGAGGAGCAGAGAATCATGATGACATTTGTTTAAAGGTGCCATTTTGACATCTTTATAACCACAAGTCTGAAATATCAGACATATTCCAGAAGGAAGATAATTACTGGGTCATTGTAATAGCATGATAAAAATTACATGGGAAAGAACCAAAATACATCCCCTCCACGTTAGGAAAAGGACATGAACTGTGTCAAATTAAAAGCAGAAATGGAAAGGAAGACTAAAAAAATATTTTGAGGAAACTAGTTACTAGACAAAAAAGCCTCGTCTCTCCTAGCAGGAGGAGGGAGCCTGCTGGAGGGCTCTGCAGGTGTCCAGGGTGTGCAGTCATCAAGTGATCAGGGTGGCAAAGGAGTTTGAGAGAAAACACATCCTAACACAACAGCTAAACAGATTACTTGTGTCTGCATTCAGCACAGAAAAGCTTAGTGAAATTCCCATGGCAGAACCATTTGTTAAAGGGATAATGCAGGGAAGCTGCCTCAGATTGAAGGGTCATTAGATGAGACTTTAGAACGAATAAATGCAAGGAATAGTAACAAATTCATGAAAAGCAGATGTTACTCGCTTGTGAGTTTTTAAGGAATGCTAATGGAAATTGTTGCACTGTAAGAGCCTGTTTATAAGCCTTTACTTAAAACAGCTGAAGAAAAAAGAGGATGGCAAGTGATACTGTTTTCTTTTAAGCACTGTAAGGGATGTAGAGAAATGCAAACCATTAAATCTGACACCTGTGGCAAGCAAACAGCAAAAGCCATAGTTACAGAATAGTTGCAAGGAGAGACAGAGACTAAGAGGGGAGAATTGGCAGAGCTTTGCAGTGAGAACCTATGAAGCTGTGCACCACCACCCTCTGACAGCTTCAGAGCAAACTGTGAAGCTGCAGATGAGAGCAATCCGCTCACTGTGATCTGCTCAGCTTCTGGAAAGCCTTTAACAACATCTGTCACCAAGGACCCATTAAGAAGCTAATCTGGCATGGGATAAGAGGGAAGATCCTCTCATAAGTCAGCAACTACATACAGGATAGAGAGACAAGGTAAGGATAAATCATCCATTCTTCACAGTGGAGAGAAGCCACCAATTGCATCTTAGAGGGATTGTGGTAGGGCCAGTGTTCATCCACAGACCCATCAGACAGGCAAATGACCGATCTGCTGGTGGTACCAGTCTGTTCAAGGCAGTAAAATGCAAACTGCCTCAAGGAGTTGCAAAACCCATCTCATGATGAAGCAGAGAAAAACACCTGGCTGAGCTGGGAGGAAGACTGCCTCTACCATGGCCTCTGAAACAGCTAGTACTACTCAGAACAGATATCTCATTGACACTTAAATGCTTATTAATGACTATAAAGCATTTGTATACATTATAAAGGGAAGAGAGTTATGGAATGGTTTCTGTTAGAAGGGATATTAAAGATCATCTAGTTACACCCCCTGGCATGGGCAGGCACACCTTCTATTAGACCAGGTTGCTTAAAGCCCCATTTAACCTGGCCTTGAATAGTTCCAGGTATAAGGCACCCACGTCTCTAGACAACCTGTGCCAGGGCCTCACCATCCTCAAACTGAAGAACTTCTTTCTAATCCAAATCCACCCACTTTCATTTTAAAGCCATTCCTCCTTGTCCTGACTATATGCCCTTGCAAAAAGTCTCTCTCCAACTCTTGTAAGCCCCCTCTAGGTATTGGAAGGTGCGGTAAGGTCTCCCCAGAGCTGTCTCCTCTCCAGGCTGAAAAACCCCAGCTCTTTCAGCCTGTGTACATAGGGGAGGTTCTCCAGCCCTATCATCTTCATTATCTCCTCTGGACTTTCTTCACCAGGTGCATTTTCTTCTTATGTTGTGGGCCCCAGAGCTGGCTGCAGCACTCCAGGTAGGGTCTCACAAGAGCAGAGCAGAGGAGCAGAATCACCTTCCTCAACCTGCTGGTCACTCTACTGCAATGTAGACAAGGATACAGTTGGCTCTCTGGGCTCTGAGCACATACATTGCTGGTTGAGCTTCTCCTCAACCAACACCCCCAGGTTCTTCTCCTCAGGGCTGTTCTCAGTCCATTTTCCACCCAGCCTGTATTTGTGTTTGGGATTGCCCCACCCCAGATACAGGACCTTGCACTTAGCCTTGTTGAACATGACAAGGTTTGCAAAGTCCCACCTGTCAAACCTGCCAGGGTCCCTCTGGATGACATCCCTTCCCTCCAGTGTGTCCACTGCACCACACAGCTTGGTGTCGTTGGCAAACTTGCTGAGGGTGCCCTTAATCTCAATGTCTGTATCACTGACAAAGATTTTAAACAGCACCAGCTGTTTAAGAAAGCTGACCCCTGAGAAATAACTTCACTTGGTACACCAGCCCCTCCTTGTTGGCAAGAACAGGGTCCAGCATAGCACCTTGCCTTCTTGGCTGCTCTGTCACTTGGAGAAGGAAACTCTTGGATTGCTTATGCTTTACTGTGCTGTCTTCTCCAATAGGTATGTCCCCATGAGGACCAGGGCTTGTGAAAGTGAGGAAGTTATGTATTATGTAAACCAAGATACTTCAAGGTGGGGGAAGAAGACTCTGAGAGAGAATATGTTGGAGCTTTCTAAACTCAAATGGCCTATGGAGTCACTACCTCTCATAACATACAAGAAAGTGGCACCAGATGATGTTTTCAGGTTCAAGACAAAGTTGAAGGCAACAAGTTCTGCTCCTAGACAAAGAAGTTTCTGCCTTTCTAGAACCTGTTTTCACAGGATGTTTGGTTTAGAATGGTTTTAGAAGCAAGTCAACAACTGTGTGGAAGATAAATCATCTGAAACACTAAGCCACCCCTCAGATGAGGAAGATCCTAGGCTAGAAGTGGCTGTCTCCTCTGCTGGCCATGAGCAGAGCTAGGACACCAGACAGATAAACTTTGCAGCCAAACCTATTCTGACACTGTATCAACCAGACAATTTTAGAAGAACACCATCGCCCTGCAGAGAAGTGCAGAAGCATAGCTTTGCTTTTTTTATGGAGCTATGATCACCCTATTATTAGCAGTAGTGTTTCTTGCTCCAGGGTAAGTTACACAGTTTGCTATTTTTAAGCTTAAAATAAAGATTAAGAAAAAAGAATCCATTCTTAAGTTCTTTTTCCATGTATTTTAATGTTTTGTGTTAGCTGAGGACAAAGCTGCAGTTTGACAAGCCCTATGCCAACACTGCTGCCAAAAGCTGCAGCTCTGTCCTCTCATACCACTGGAAAGGACAAATGGGGGGGACGGAGGGGGGAATGCAAAATTAGCCTTCAGAACTGAGAAAAAGAGGACGAGGCTGCTGAAGGCAGGGCTGGCTTAGGCTGGTCCCAGGCACTTATTGACCTATAATTTAATTTGGTTTCCTCTGACAGCTGTCCCTTGCAAATGATAACTGTCCTCATCCCCCCTGAGAACAGCAAGAGTTGGCAGCCATGGCTGAATGTGGCCTTTCTTGCCATCCCAAATGAAAGAAAATCCCTTGCTTATGAAAGGAAACACTACAGAAGTGACCTTTGCTCCACTATTAGAAATTTATTTATCAGTTAATTTTAATCACTGAAATTATTGAAGGATTTTGAATAGTTTTGTAATTCTATGGACAAAAAAGCTAGACAAAAATGGATGATAACACTCTCAAGTGAGCCATTTAAGATTTAATGAGGCATTTAATCACTAAGAGTCAGACCTGTACTTTGATGGTAAGATGCCATTCTGGGGAGTGATTATCTTCAGACACATCAAAGGGCTTGAATTGCTGAGGGGGGTGTAAAGCCCAACAGAGCCTCTGCCACGGAGTGAAAAGATCCGGGCTCTGGTGACTCAGCCTTTTTACAGCAGAAGGGCTTGCTCATGTCCAGTTACAGACAAATTTTTCTTTAAAGTGTGTATCTTGTCTTAAATGGCTCTTCTATGAAACTGATGCTGGTGTTAAAATCCTTGTAGGTTTGTCTCCAATTTATTCATATCAGCTGTTGCAAGGAAAACAGCCAGTGTTGTTATGAAGTAGAAAAGAGATGTTGCATTCCCAAGCCCACTCTGAAAAATCCTCTTCAACTGAACAAAGGCCATATCAATGTTGCTGTGCGGGGGAGGAGGGGAGGAGATGGGGGGAAATCATTGGTGTCTGAGAGCAAAATCTGAGTGCCTTGAAGGAAGAAAACAGATTTGCAAACTAGTGTGAGAAAATACGCACAAAACTGTAGCTCATGTGGGGCAATATTAGCAGAAACTGTAAGTTCCCTGAAGTGCAATATGAGCAAATGCAGTGATGGGTATCATAGACCTGCTCTTAAAATCACACTTGCCTGGTCACTGTGTGTGACAGTGACCTAACACTGCTTTCTGTAAGAGCTGACCTGAAGCATTGTAATGAGGCACTGCATGGAGTTTTCTTTTCCTTCTAAATCATATAGACAATGATAAACAAGGGCAATTCTAGATTAGATTTGGTACAAGAGGAGACAACTTATTTTTACTGAATCTGAGCCTACTGCATCTGACACCCTTTAGATGCAGAAATGCTGAATTGATGTTATTTGTACTACACTGCAGCAATTTGAACCCTGTTATGTGAAGAGTATTTATGTATCTTGTCTTCTTCACATGAGGCTAGGACAAATGCCAGGGCAGATGGAGGAGACGATCAGCTGGACTAATACTTGGATCAACACATTATGCCTTTCCAAGGTGATAGAAGATACCACTGAGTATCTGCACTGGAACAAGCTGTTGACTTAGTTCCCTTCTATACAGTAATGGACTAAAAGATCAAGCTGCTGCTAGGAGATGCAGCACTAGCTGTAAATGGAAAAGGAGCATCTGGGATTCAAAGCTTGGCCCTCGATGAGGAGCCTTGCAGAGCAGAAATGCACTTTCCTACCAGGTGAGCAGCCTCGTTGGCTGTGCCCCTGTGCACTGAAAAGCCACCTGCCCCATGCCCATAGTTGTGGACCACTGGGACCTTAACTCCTCCTTGGCTCAAAACCTCTCTTTGCACTCTCACACACTTCCTGGACGGCCTCAGGCCCACCTTCACCTGGATATCCTGAGCTCCATGCAGTGAGGGCTCAAGGGAGCAGCATCTATCAAAGATGTCTCTAGTAGTGCCAGCATCAGGGGAGAGACTCCAGCTCCCCTCTTCCCTGGTTCCCCCTAGGGTCACCCTGTGTATCCCTGGGTAGATGTAAGTTAAGCCATCTCCATCCCGGATGAAGTGTTTCACCCAAGGAGCATGAACCTTGAGTACTTGTCCCCTGACAGGGAAGAGCTGCTTGTCCCCCACCAGCTGGTGAGCTCCGATGCCTGCGCAGTTGACAAGGACATCATATTCACTGTGCAGTTCCCACAAGTCTGCCACTTTCCTGGTGTACATCTGGGTGCCAGTTGCCTTCAACCTGCAAAAAGACTCCGGAAGTGAGGCAGAAAAGAAACCTCTAAACCCTTACATAATTATTATGAACATTAAGTAAATGAGATGGATTGCCTTTGCCTTTACATACTGATCAAAACCAAACAATAAATGGGACAAAAAGCAAAGAAAATGCCATGGGGGTTCTGTTTGTGATTTTTTCTGATTTGACCAAAGGTATTTAGCCTGGTCAGGCTGGATAAAGCAAGTCAAGCAGTTTTAGAGAAGGGTCTGGCATCAGACCCTAGGCAAACAGTCAGGTCCTTGCGGTCTTGATTAATTTCTGTAACAGTACCAAGCTTTAAGAGCCCAAGCAAGCTGGGAAACAACAAATTTATTTACCAGCTTGCTCATGCTAATGGCGGAGCTATCGCACTATGTCCCTTTTAATTTGCCTGTTACATGCTGCCACATTCATTCCCAACTCACTTCCTGAGCTACGTAGCCATCTAGTGCCACATGCCAAGCCCTGAGATCTGCACTAAGGCTGAGCAGATGTGGCACAGGACCCCCAGAGTGCCCATAACCTTCTGGAGCAGCAGCCAGGAGTCACCCAAGATGGCTCAGAGCACTATACATGCATGTCTGCTCTTCAGTGAAAGTCATCTCTTCTTGAGATTCATTTTTAAGCTCAATTTCAAGCCAAATCCTCCTGTGAACTTGCCTGAATTTTGAAGATCTTTCCTGTGGAAAATCACTGGTATGAGATGGAGTCCCTGTATGCTGTCAGCTGGATCCCATTGCTCAGGGATTTTGCTGGGGGTTTTAGCATAAGCAAGTCAGGAGACAGGTCTGTGATGCACTAAGTGGAAAATCCCATCCTCTGCAACATTCTAGCATCTGGCAAAGTCATCAACCCCACTGTAAAGGCAGTGGTTTCCCACAGAGCAATGAGTGAGTCAAGAATCCAGGGCACAGTTGATGCTTTGGAGCCTGATGTAGCAGGACACTGAAGCTGTCTGGGAAAAACAGGGGAGACCTCATGCAGCAGCTGTGGCTGGGCAACTTGCAGGGAGAGCTCCTAAGAGTTGTAACTGGGACTCTGTCACCATGCCACAAAAAATACACCAATGAAAAAACCTGCTGAAAACTCCTGCATTTGGGCAAGTAAGCAGGAAAAAATTCCTGAAGTCTATTTTTGGCCAAGCAAGGTGGGCACAACAATTTTCCTTGTGGATTGCCAGGAGAATGGTCTATAAATACTGCTCAGGTCACTGGGGGTTTGAGAATTAGTTACACGTTTAATATTCTCTCATTTCTCATCACCAGGGAGAAGAGAAAAGAAAGAGCTTGATCATCTCATTAGACTACATCCTTTGAGAAATAAGAAGACTACAGCAGGAACGAGGAGGGAGCAGAAATCACACGGCAGATACTAAATGGGTTGTACAACTTAGCTGTCATGCAGCAGAAATTTGCTTCAGTTAGGCAATGAAATATGACAGATCATGTGTACCGAGTAGATGGCACAGACCCCACACAGCACTGGTGCCACAGGAGAACTCCCAGCTCGCCTGGCTGCTACAAGAAGAAATGTTTTTTCGCATTTTGCAGTGTGATAAAAGGCATCCAAGTAACCAGCTGAGCTGGCAACTTGTACCTTGGTGTCATTACACATCTCTTTACTTAACCCCAAATCAGCTTGCAGCCTGTCTCCTTCTCTCAAGTGGATACAGCCATTTGCTCACTTTAGAGGTACTTACTCAGATTAAATACTTATCCCAGTATGTCCCAGGGTGTCAAAGCCCTTTTAGATCTGCATCCTGTCTCTTCTATGGTTCTCCAAAATTGAGGTATTGGGGGGAAACTTAAAAATTGGCAGATTTTCTAACTTTGATGTCAATCCAGGCATGAACTCTGATGCCACTACTCCTCAGAGTGAGTGCATCACCCATCTCATGCAGGCAAACATTTTCAAAAAATTTGTTTCAAGATGATGCTCTTTAACATTTTGGGCTTTTTTTCATCTAAATGGATTAAGAAATTAGTCCAATTGTTGAACAAATTTGAGATTAATTGGTCCAGCTACTTCATAAGTGCAAAGTCTTTGCAATAGGACACCTTCCTAGATGTGCTTATTCACTCAGGGGCTGGATGAATCTTCAAAAACAGAGGGACATAATTTGGGAAGTTTGGCAAATGTGGAGCAGCCAAATGTCTTCTCAGGACATGGCAGGTTCCTGATGTACCTTCAAGGTCTGGCTGGCCAAGTATGGTGCCTGTGGCTATGTTGGCCTTTTGCCCAGGGTCACTCACACTCTAAGGCCCACTGTAAAGACACTTTGGGAGAAAGTGGACATTGCATAAACAGTGCTTTTCACATTTTAGAAAAGTTGGGTATTTATTTTGTGTGCTTCTCCCCAAGCAAGAGTTTGTTGCATTTTCTGCAAGAAGAAACAGCCTTTTTCCAGTTTTATTCAAATCTAAGGCTCTCAAGGAGACCCTGTCTTGCCTCCAGTCCCTCTGCCAGAGTTTCCCTCTGCATGCCCAGCCTGCAGCAAAACCTACCTTTTCTCCAGCCACAGCAGGTAGGGTGGGCAGTCACATTTGAGGGTTGTAAAGGCCTGACCAAATCGGTGCTGTGGGAACTTTAGGAGTTCTGCTTCAGACATTGCTCGAAATCCCAGCACAATATCTGACCAGAAAGGTAGCTCTTCTTTGGGAGTGCTTTTAAAGACCTGCCAACTAAAAAGACAGAGAAAAACCTGGAAAACTTCACTGGTATTGCTCTGCCATGTTATGTGTCATGGCAATCATTGCATGAGCTCAGGAACCTCTTTTCCCCCATCAGTGCAGCTCTGCAAGGTTAACAGCAATGGGTAAACATCGCTTCCTGCTCCTGCAATACCTGCCTGAGTCAGCACAGCTGGGCTTGAGGGTGGCACATCAAGGTAAACGAACTGCAGAGAGCCCTGCCAGTGATGGTGCATGTACGGAGTGCCCTCATTCAGTGTCTCCACCACTACTGCAGACACCTGGTGGACCTGGTGGGGCCACCTGCAAACCTGCTTACCATTCCTGGGGTATCCATAAAGCTACAGAGTGCTCAGTTTCAATACTCCCAAGAGGAGAATTTCTGAGTAGATAATAGGCAGCATAAAACATCCCCAACACACAATCCCCAGCTGAATCCCTGTACCTAGCTGCTGAAGCTGGAGGATCCTGCAGTCCCACCCCTCTGGAGATGATCCCTGCTGCAAACAGCTAGTGGGTAACAGTGTAGAAAACATCAGTTTAAATAGTAAAAGATATTTGGTGCTGCTCAGACTGGAGTGGCTTTTCTGTGCACACCTGTCTCTGAATTTTGCCTAAAAATACATCGTATATGAGCAGCTACAATGCATTTTCTTTGGAATACAGACATAAAAACTATTCCTTGGAGGGAATACCCCTGAATTCTAGCAAAGAAAACCTGTCTGTCTGCTTCAGAACACAGCACAAATGTACATAAGGCTGCCCCAGGGGCTGTTCTTACCCAGAGACTAGGTGAATGCCAGCCTCTGATGCCTCGGCTGAGTTGCTGATGGCAAAAAGGTAAGTGAAGGTCTCTTTGAACCACTGCTTCTGCCTGTGGATCGGTGTGTCTGCATGTGAACAAAACCAAATGTGCAGACAGGAATAACGCAAAGAAAAGAAGCATACAATGTCAGGGATATGGGATAGACAGGGAACACAGGTCAAGGCACTTTTCTTCTTGAGCCTCTATGCACCGCTGCACAACTGGACACAGCTGCATGAGGTGCCACGGGCAGTGCTACCCTGAATTAAACAAACCTGGGTAGGTGTGAGGGATGAGCATCCCAGCTGCCACATCACTCGTTGTGTTGGGGCTGAACTGGTCCGAAAGGACTGTTACAGAGCAGCTGGGACAAGTCTCTGTGATGCACAGTGCTGTGGACAGGCCGATGACTCCCGCACCCACCACTGCAACCTTGGGTGAGGCCATCTCCAGGATGCAGAGCTAGAGCAGAGAGGTTCCTACCTGCATTTGGAAACAACATATCACATGTCACTATCATCCAGGGTGAGTATCAGGCTATGAAGCACTCACATGAGATGTAATGTTATCACTCCCCGACAACTAATTGAAGGTTGACTACTGCACACAACCAGGACTGTGGTGTGGACTAAAAAAATCAGCCTTTGATATGACAAAAAATTTTGAAAATTCTTTCAGTAGCCACTACCTCATCCTCAGCACAAGAGGGTGATCTTCATGTACACCACTAGTGTTTGGGCTGGTTTGGAGGTTTCCTCAATAAAACGTGTGGGAGTGAGGCACCCATCAAGTTTTCTGTTGTATCAGGTGCAAAATTCACAGAGCTCTGGAGAAATTGGCTTTTTTAGAGCTTTTTAAGCAAAAAGGTTGCATGAATATTGGGATCTCCAGCAGTGAGGGCTGTCACTACCTGGGCAGCAGAAGCAAATCACAGTGGAGGTCTCCAATCCATTCTTGGTGCTTGTACCTACCAGCATGACCCACTACCTTGGACAGATTCATGGGCATCCAAGATTGCCATGCTCTCTCAGCAGCACATGGCGGTCTCCACATGCCAGCCAGTCTTGCTGCTCCAAGGGCCTGTATTTTTGCCTCTCTTTGCTTTAGTTTATAACTTATGCTTTATGCCCTGGAGCAGCTTTATTCCACTCCTCATCTGCTAATTGCTACTCCATGAAGTGCAATGTCTCTATTTTCTCTGTCCTGGGGAGTGGCACATAGCTCCTAGTTGACAATCACCTGGCTGCCCATCCCAGTGAGATGCCAGACTGTGTTCCTGGCCATGGCCAGCACAGGTCTCACACTGGTGAAGGCACCAAGCAGAACTGAACCATGCAGCTCCATGCATCCTGCAAACTCCCCGAAGCCAGGACTAAATGGGCCTAGAAGAGAGAGACTGGGCAACCTCAGAGGTGATGAATCCTTTAGCAGCTTTGAACCAGGTGAATAGGGGTGCTCCTGCTGGGTCAAGCACCCCTTCAATAGGTTACTGTCAAAATCTGACCAGGGATGTAGGGGGAGGATCCCTTCTGCCTATAAATAATTTTTTCCTGGAATATCTACAACATACACTTTCAGAAAGGATGCTGAGTGAGATAGACCTTCAGTTTTGTGCCCTGATTGTTCTGGTTTCTCCTATGGGGCTTGCTGATCAGTGACTGTAGAAATCCAGCCTTTCTAACTGCTTTCTGAGAATTTTTACTGGAAACCAGTGCCTGCGCTTACAATGACAGGCTGATTTACCATCTTCATGTAGCTTTTGGCATCTTTGATGTAAATTTAGGCAAGACAGACAGCGTGGAATTATGATAGGTCAGGTTTATTTATGAGATCCTTGCTCATAACTGTTCACACAGCTTCTCACTTACCCCTGAGGTTTTGCTACTTAAAATTTGATGTTTCTGCTATGTAAGAAGGGAAAGAGCAGCAGGCACTGTTGCCTATCATTTCATTCCTTCTGCATCACAGCCAAGGGTTGTTACAACCTGTCTTCTTCCACTCATGGCAATGATTAAGTTTCTTTCTGTTAATTATCACATTTTCTTTCACAAGCTGACTACAGAAGTGCCTGCACAGCAGAGAAAGAGGACACAGTATGGGAGGGAAAATGGACCCTGGACCAGAACTGCTGGCCTGCATGGCTGACACGCAAAAACCCAGTCTGGAAAAATGCTGGGGGAAGGGGAAACGGAAAGTAAGGAAAAATATTAGTAACAAGAAATTGGGGCCTGGGTAATAATTCTGTAATTACTTAGGAAAACTAGTTCTGAGAAAAGTCTCTAAACACATCTTTATGAACAAACCTTCTCACTCAGAACTGTCAGCTGTGGAAATGGTGTGTGGCTCTCAAGCCTCCCAGCAGTCTGTGGACAAGCTTTTTCAGCTGCCCTGGAACATATGCAACGGGTACATTATCCACCTGCTAGAGATGTGCTTTCAGTTGTCCCTCACAACTCTCCTTTGCTGAAGCCCTTGGACCATGATGGAGATTGAATTTCCCGACTGACCTCCCTGTCCCTGGGGAAGAAAGGGGAGCTGTGGCTTGATGAAGATTCAGGTTTCACAAGTCTACCCAGTTCAGATGGGATTTTTGCCCAGACGAGCCAGTTTTTTATCAAATGATCCCTGTGCTGCAAAATCCAGTAAGGGCAGGAAGGGGTTGCTGACAGTGCTGGAGCCTGTAGGAGCAGCTCAGAAGGCAGGCATTTGTTCAATGCACCATTTTTCCTGCACCTACTGCTGCAGTCCAGGAACATGACAAGACTTCATGCCAAAAACTAACTGGGTGCAAAGCAGAGTCTACACACAGCTTGTATGAGCAACTCTGGCTTTGCAGAGCCACTGACCCCACTTTGAGTGCAAGGCCCACCTATGGCTTTGCCCTGGAAGCACAGCCTGCATCTTGTGGGGTGGGGAGCACAGGACGAGAAATTATTTTTAGCTGATGTGGCAGCCCAGCTTAGTCCCAGCAGGGGAGACATTCTCATCCCCTCAGACAGGCCTGAGCATTTTGCAAAAATCAGCATTTAAAAGGCAGATCAGTTGCAGTAGCTGCTGGGGAGGGAGGCAAATGGTGTCAGGTACTATTTAGCTCTCTGTCCCTTCAGTGTACACAGAAAAGGCCAGAAGCCAGAGAGAGTCACCTGGAGCTGCAATTCCCCCAGCAATGAGGACCCCAGTTGCCTGATGTGGGTTTCATGTCATGTCCCTGCCACCCTGCTGATTCTCCCAGGACAGAATGAATTAGTTTAAAAAATACTGAGATATTTTGTGACGTGACTTCACCTCTCAACTCCCACGGCTGAGGAGATATGTCAGCCTCATGTGACACAAGGCGGTCTTTATTCTTTCTTGCCTCAAATAGTATGCCACCATTAAATGCCACTAACTTTCAGCTCTAACATCATTCTAGCAGTGGGTAACATGGCCAATATGGATAAATACACTGTTCCCCAGCACACACACACAGAGGAACGTGTACATCCACTGCCAGCTGCAGCTGCAGCCCCTGGTCACAGCACGCTGAATGTTCTTAGCTTGTGTCGCAACCCAGCCAGCCTACCAAAATAAGCATATTTACACACCCAAATAAACAGTGGAAAAAGCCCAGCTGAACTGTTGACCAGAAAAGTCAGAACAGGAAGTAACTAAAGAAAACCAAAACCTGTTATATTTTAAGGCCTTGGTTTCTTGGGGTTTTTTTGGTTATTTTTAACTGACTCATCATAATGAGATAAATGCTGAAACACTGTTTGGAATCATGTGAAGCCTGTGGTACTGGGGAGCAAAGGCTCAAGCTTTTCTGAGCTGCTAGAGGGGCTCCTCATCCACCAGGGCAGCTGTATCCACTGCCCCTGTCAGTGCATGTCGTGGAACCCTTTCTCCCTTAATTTTTTTGTTGATCACTTTTGTTTAATCACTTTCCCAGTTTACAAGCACCCTTGGTGTTACTTCCCTTCACAGGACCCCAGAGAGGGGATTTTCTGGGCAGAGGCTGATCCATTCTTGGGTCTTTGCAGAGGAGAAGCTCCTGATTTTGGCCTTTTGCCTCTGGCCAGGTCCCCTTTCTGCTCTTCGGGCTGCCCTGTGAGATGTACATTTAGGAAGTGCTGCAGGAGAAAGGAGAGGATGATCTTTCTTCCCTGAACAAAGGACTCTGGGGGCTATTTGGGATCCCCTCAGCCTTTCTACACACAGAACACTGCTGCCAGAAAGCAGGATTCACAGGCGACCACGGAAAGCCACTGTCACAGGGGACCCCGGGGCTACCAGGAGGCCTCAGCTCCTCCTTCAGGTGGATTGTTTGCAAGCCTGGGACACAGCTTCGAAGGGATGATAGGTATACCCCTCCATAAGCTACCTGCAAGAGCCGCCTTCACCAAGAGCACCTACGCCGAGGGATGCTCTTGTTTTCCTCCCGAACGGGAGAGGAAAGCAATCCTCTCCGCGATCCTGGCTCCCCGCAGGGCCGGGATGTCGCCGCTCGGGGCGGGGAAGGGGGGGGAACAGGGAGCAGCTGCGATCCCGGATCTTCCCCCCAGCTAAGCCCTGCGGTTCACCCCTCCCGCCCTGGTGTGTGGGCTGAGCCCTGCCCGGCTCCGGCAGATGGGATCTGCCCACGGGAATTCCCCACGCAGCCACTGCGGGCGCTTCCCCGGCCCTCGGCAGCAAAAGGGCTCCGACATCCAACATTTACTTCTACACCTAGTAGTACGGTCTGGAAACAACCCAATAGGAAAAGAAGAGCAGGCGATACCTGCTGAAGAGGAGGCCCCCGGTCCCCTCTGGAAAAGCCGGCCTCCCGGGAAGCGCGGGGCCCGCCGCCCCCTGTCCCGGGCCGTTCCAGGGCCCGGCTCCGCGCCCTGCTGGACGGAGGAGCTGTTTGTGCCCAGGCCCCGGCTCGGGCCGCCTCCGGCACTGGCAGCGCTCCCGGAGCGCCCGGCGGCCTCTGCCGGGGCCGGGCCCTCCGCCGCTTGCCGGAACTTTTCCCCCTGATACTCCCTCCAGGGGAGGCCCAACGGGACCGGCTGTGCTGCAGGGAATACCCTGTCCTTTTGCTTCCCTCACAGGCAGTCATGTTCTGAGTGTTTCTGGAGCTGCCTGAGGATTGCCACAGCGCTTGAGCAATCGCGCGAGCGGCCAGGAGGGGAACTCCGGCCATCACTGGTCGGTGAGGAACGAGCGGGCTCCTGCCAGACCGCACATCCCAGAGCGCAGCCAGGGAGGGCTGTTTTCAGCAGAAAAACACGAGTTTGTCAAAAACAAACCTCTCTGCAGGAGCTCTAGGATGAAATTGCACGCCATATACCCCGGTTTATTGCCTCCGGGGCATTAGCCGTTGGCAGGATATTTTGGCTAATATTTGACAGCCTGAGCATTCGTCCCTGAACATTCTCAGCAGGACAGTGTTTGCCGACCACTCCCTCCAGCCCTGTCGAACAGCATTTGCAATGGATCTTCCAAGCAGGTGCCTTTTCTCTGTAGCCATTTGAATTCAGACCAGCAGCCATCCAAAGGGTATCTGTATGAACAGCAACAGTGTGCTCCACACACATCGAATTGTTCTTGTCTCCCTGTCTAGCCGTACTCTTAAAACTAAAGCCATGATACAATATACATCACTGGTCTTTAAGATACATATATTTTTTTTAAGATTTTTCCTTTCAACAGTGACAGGAACAAGGCATAATTCTCCCAAATTATAGTATGGCTTGATTTTTCTGCGTGTTCTGAAAATAGAGGATTAAGACAGGGAAGGCAGCAGAGGAACAGAGGTTTGCTTGTTTAAAAATTAAATTTTTGATGGGCTTGCTGTATTGTAAAATGAACACTATTCTAAGTCATTGCAGGGCATCTGCAATAGGTTTGGAAAGAGTCATTTCACATATGGAAATCTACAAATATACTTGGAGGTTGCAGTTCCAACTAAGATAAAAACTGCCTGCTACTTCTCCTGAGATTCTAGGGCTTATTGCTTAGAACTTTCCCAAATAGGAATGATTTGGATCAAAACGTTCTGTGACATATGTTTGTGCAAGTGTGAATGTTTCAGGGAATTCCCAGTATGTTTTTTCCTGAGAATAAGATGCAGGAAATTCACAGGTTTGTGATACCAAATCCTTTAATAATATCATTGAAAAAAAATCTGTGGGCTGAAGTATTTTGCGAAGGTGAACAAACACATTGTATTTGGTAAAGCGCAAGTCATGATTTGTGCGTTTGGGAAGAGACTGCCAGCCTTCTGGCACAGAACAAACACAGCCCTGATTGTACTTGGAGCTCTTCCTGAACCATGACTGGCAGTGGCATCCCAGCACACCATCAACCCAGCTCGAGCAGTGTTTCCTTTTACCTTAGCATTCCCTTTGCTTTGTGTGCTATCCTGAACAGAGCCTTAACAACGGGCAGAAATCACCCCTCTGAACACAGCAGTGCTGACCTATTTCAGATCTTGTGAATGGCATGCACCATTTATCTGCCACTTCTTTAAGCAGTTCAGGTCAAGAATCAGTGTCCATAGCAAGTTACTATTTCAGCAAGGAGTTTCAGCTGTGCCTCACTTTGCTGTTGTCCCATGTTATTTACTTACTTCTGGGTGAATTCTCTATGAGGAAGAAACCAGTAGTGATGACATTCCTATTGAAAAGCTTTGTAAAAATATTTACTGAGACCCCATTTATCCCTGGTTGTTTCACCACGTTCCTGATTACCTCAGCCAAAACCACTTTTTAATCTCATCACTGGCAATGAGACTGTGGAGACAATCTTTACAAGAATCACCCCTTGATGGTGTTTTGTTCTTATTCCTATGCAAGTCTGTTCATCTCCACGTGGAAGATTATGAGGCAGTGTTGATAACTAAATGCCTATGAACATTCCATAGCTGGATCCTATTTATCTGCAACAAAGACCCAAGCAGTATCCACGGCTTGTATGCTAGTCAGGAATGTAGAGACAGAAGAGTGGGTTTGTCACTAAATGAGATATTCCCCATTATTTCTGATTATTCATAAATCTAGGTTTGTAATATTTTGGAAAGAGTTGTTTTGTCCAGAAACTGGAATCTGCAATCACTGTTTATATACCAGTTGTACTAAAAAGGGTATTTCCCCCTTTGAAGTATTTACTTCTTAGGCTTGATTTTTCTCAGCTTGATTTCAAGAGCACTGAGCTCAGTGCTCTTGAAATCAGTCTATCAGGCTTGATTCAAATTTCTCAGCTTTAGCAACAACTATTTGTACCATTCACTCCTGTTACTTTCAGAGAGGAACGTAGATCACCTGGCAAGGACAGGACACATTAAGCCTTCAAAACACAAATTATGAAGCAAAGTGATGGGTGTAATTTGATCAGAAAACACAAGATTAATAAAATATGCATGGAAAGTTGAGTCATTTGCACTAATTAGAGATTTAAGGGAAGTGAAGAATAAATACGTTCCTGAGAAGCTCTAAGGGGACAAATAACAATAGAGCTATGAATTGCTGCAATTCTTATTTTCCTTGTGCTGTCAACCCACTCCAGTTCCCGCATGAAGAAGCTATAGTTAGTCTTCACATGCACTGAACACCACGTGCTTACAAGTACATTGTTCTGTCATTCCTGTGGTCACCTACTCTCTTTTCTGGTAACTCATAGCCATTCCTCAGTATCTGCAGCTATTTTTGTCACTACTGAACATGTCTGAGGGACTACTGCTCCAGTCAGCTAATACAAACAAAGGCAAGAAACAATCATATTTTTCCTGCAACTGAAATGCAAAACATGTCATATTTTTAATGCACATTTTGTCATAGTCACCTCCTAACACATTACCCAAATCTTGGTTTACACCTTCAAAGACAAACAGGGAAAAAATATACACATGATATTTGCCATCCTAAACCATAGGATCTCTATGGAATGCCAAAACACCAGCCAGGCCTCTTTAAGGGAGTGTGAACCAAATGAACAGTTGATAAAAGTTCATTAAATTAGGTAAAAGTGTAAAGATTAAAAAATGCATGTCTGACTTTATTCTTGCCCATAATTGCAGATAATAAATACATATTTTAAAAAAAACTATTAAAATATATTGTATTAAATCCTCAAGTTCTGGGCAAACAAACTCTTTCCTACAAGTACATACTTCTCCCATATAACCAAAAGACATATCTCATGTAGTACAGAATATTGTACAAAATTATTAGGCTACCAGAACATAGATGTGCTTTAGTCTTTCTTCCTGTGAGAGGTAACTAATTGTCAGCATTGACTAGAATTTTCCCTGATAGAATAAACTGGTTTTGTCAACGCCCCATTTTCTTTTTGGTCCTTGTGTTTAATTTCTCCCCTAGGAATCTGTTCTAGGATTCAGACAAACATGATTCAGATGTTTATAAAGGGCACAGGATGAATCCAGAGCCTCCTTTTTGCAGTCACAAATGCCTTTCTGGACCAGAGTCCATGGCACAAGTGAGCTCACCTTTTCCTAAGCCTTTCCAAAAGGCACTCACAGGCCTTGCACACTGCTGAGCCCGATGCCACAGAGACTTCCTGAGTGACTGCACCTAAGGGGTTGATAAAAAAAAACCTACAAAAGACACAGGAGAACACCAATAAGTCCTTCACTGCATCCCAGAGCTGGGATGTTAGGCCATTTTGTCCTTCCACAGAGCCACTACACAATAGCCCTCAGCTTTCAAGGAGGCTTCATCCCTTTTTCAGACATTCAGGGTACCACCCAAAGCATATGATAACTGCACATGATTTGCATAGCTTTTTTTTTTTTCTGTATAGTTGTTTAAATTACAGAATTTTGCACAGAGAAATTTAATGAAGCTGTTAAAGTAGAAAATACATCTTTTTCTATAGTTTAAAAATACAATTTTGAAATATCAAACACATGTACTTATTATTTTTCCTTAGTTATCATTAAACTAATAATAGTTACTCTTATTCTTATATTTAATCCAAAAAGGTATGTCCTTAACAAATTGCAAGACTATCTAATGAGGCTGGATATCCAATTTCAGAAAAAAAACATTTGCCATCATGTAATAGTGACCAGCAATTAAGGTAGATAAGGATTCTAATTCATTATCTCATAAAACTGTTGTGTAACTCCAGAGACATTGATGAGCACAAAAAATTTGCACTAAGATAAGGATGACAAATACAAACATAAAAGGACTTATGAACTGAAGTAAGAAACTATGAAAATTAATTCTTTTTATGAGCATCGAAATGAAAATATAGCCCACAGGAACAGAAGCATTTTTTCTCAAACTCAGTGCTCTCTTGCAAGAGGATTTTAAAAAATCTATGAATATTTAAGAGAAAGAAATCAACTCACCCTGATTTTGCTACATTTATAATGCATGACTAGTGTTAAACATATTTTTGCCCATATGGAAAAAACAAGCAAATAGAAATGCTAGAAACATAGAGATACATGCTATTTCCTTTTTTTCTAAAGTAATATCCTTCCTCAAGTTAAAGAATAGGATACCCCAAGGCAATCTCTAAGCTATTGATGCATAAAATCACAAAAGGTGTACCTGTAAATCAACAAACATTTTATTTCCAAGGAAAAAAAGTAACATCATTAGGTCAGGGAAATTCAGGGGTCATTTGAATTAAAGACCAAATACCAACTGACTTTAGTGACAGGAGGAAATGGCTTTTGGGATTAAGCCATCAAGCTACATTGTGGTCTAGAAACGTAATTAAATTTTAGTTGTAAACAATACCAGTATCATTGTGTATTTAACTGTTTTCTTGTTCTTTTCTTCACCTTATGTGTACTGATTACAGATGACCAAGTCCTGAATCCCTCAAGCCAAAGGAACACAGAATATGCATTGGCTGCTCTTGGCAGGGTAAGACC